CTCCTGCTGTCATACTAAAGAACTTGAACACACATACCGACTCTCCCTCTATCACCGTAACCACTCAGTTTCTCAACCTACTAATTTCCCACTCTACCAAACCTCAGCTACATACAAACATGATCATACCCTTCATTTTGCCATCACTCACAAATGCACCACTTCCAAGTTTAAGAATTCCCAAAATCCCCTTATCCAACCACAGTCTATTGGTTTTCCCCCTCTCCCTCTGCCTTTGCTTACAAAAACCTAAATTTTGTCCACACCATTCTCTCCAATCCCTTGACCTCTCAGTTATCTTTCAGGCCATCGCTCCTAAACTAAACACTCTTTTTCCCTCCATCTTGAGTCCTTGTTGAACTAATTCAACTCTACACTGTATGCAATACATAAATCCCTAGATGTCTCCCATTGCCGAATATGTCCTAACCAAGATTCAGCCTTGGAATACTCACACAAAAGATTGCCTTACCTCCTCTACATGTGCTACTGAATGAAGGTAGAGAAAAATATACAAGGGGAAGCTAGGTGGCACAGTGGATAGAGCACCAGCCTTGGATTCAGAAGGATCTGAGTTCAAATCCAGCCTCAGACACATAAAAACACTTACTTGCTGTGTGACTTTGGGCAAGTCACTTTAACCCCATTGCCTAGCAAAAAAACCCAAAAAAAACAAAAAGAAAAAAAGCGGAAAGAAAAAAAGAGAACAATATACAACTGTTCTGACTCAGACATTAAGTTACACAACATCAACTGGGCCTTCTCTGCTGCCAGGCAATCCCATCATGGCTCTTATCAACTCACTATCCCACCCTCCATGGCAGGTCTTCCCAACCTTTTCCTCTCTCCTCATACCTCTCACAGCACCCCCTTCTACCACCCTCTTAGCTGAGATCCCTCTTCTTCATCTGTGATCACTCAGATTCCTTCTGCCACTATCTCCTCCTTCAACATTCTCACAGAATTAGGTGGCTTTACTCCTTACCAAGGTTAATGACCCTTTTACCTATTCTAGTAATGCCATTCCATCCCATGTGCTCTGACTGTCCTATCATCCTTACTCTATTACTTATTTTCTATCTCCCCATGTTTATTGCCTACAAGTAGGCCTATGTCTCCCCAACCTCAAAAAACTCTCACTTGACCTTTTCATCTGCACTAGGTATTGTCTATATCTCTTTTGGATTTTGTAGCTAAACTCCTTGAAAAGGCCCTCTACTATAAGTGCCTCTGCTTTCTCTCCTCTCTCCTTAACCCCTACATTCTGGCTTCCAAATTTATCATCCACTGAAACTGCTCTCTCCAAAGTTACCAATGATCTCTTAATTGCAAAATTCAATGTGCTTTTTCTCAATTCTTAATTCCCTTTTCTTCTCTGTAGCCTTTGACACTGGTGATCTCCCTCTCCTCCTTGATATTTCCTTCTCCTTAGATTTCTCAGACACCATTCTCTTCTGATCCCCTTCCTACCTATCTGACCACTCTTTTTAGTATCTTTTCCTGGATCCTTCTCCAGATTACAACCTCTAAACACAGAGGTCCCTCAGGGGTCCCTGGACCCTCTCCTCTTCCTCCTCTATCCTATGATCTCATCAGCTCTCATGGATTTAATTACCATCTCTATGCTAATGATTCTAAAATCTACCTTCACTGCCCAAAACTTTGCTGACCTCTAATCTTGCATCTCCAATTGCCTTTCAGACATCTTGAACTGGACATCCTGTAGATATCTGAAATTTAACATGCCCAAAATAGAACTCATTATCTTTCCTCTTAAACTGTCCTGTTTCCTTCCTACCTTCCTTCTTAGGGTAGGAGGCAACACCATCCTGCTAGTACTTCAGGATCCCAACCTAGGAGACCTATTTGAACCCTATCTCTCACCCCTTATCCAATCTGTTGCCAAGACCTGTCAACTTCACCTCTGTAATATCTCTTTAATATGCCCCCTGCTCTTCTGACTGCCACCACTCTGGTACAGGCACTCATTGACCCCTGCCTAGACTACTGAAGTAGTCTGCTGGTGGGTCTGCTTATTTCAAGTTCCCACCCACTCCAATCCACCCTCCATTCCTCCACTAAAGTGATTTTTCTAAAGAGTAGGTCCTATAATGTCACTCCCTGAGTCCCAACTCCCCCAGCAACTCCCAGTGGCTCCCTATCACTTCCAGGAGCAAATAAAACAAATGTTCTGTTTGGCATTCAAAACCCTTCATATTTTAGCCTCCTTCTACCTTTCCAGTCTTCTTATACCTTACTCCCCACCAAGTACTCTTTGACCCAGTGACTCTAGTCTCCTAAATGTTCCATAAATAGGACAAGCCATCTGTGACCATTTTCTTGGGCTTCTTGCTACGAATTCCTTAGTTCCATCTACTGACTTCCATGACTTCTTTTTGGTCTGAACTAATATCCCAAATTTCACAGGAACATTTTCCCAGCCTTTCTTAATTCTAGTTCTTTCAGTCTTATTTACTATTTCTTCTGTATATACTTTGTTTATATTTATTTTTCATGTTGTCTCTTTCATTAGATTGTAAGCTCCTTGAGGGCAAGGATTGGATTTTGCCTCTTATTGTATCTCTAGTGCTTAGCATAGTGTCTGAAACATAGTAGATGCATAATATTAATTTAATGGTAGTAGACTCGCTATATGTATATATTCTGAATGATACTATTTTCCTTTTTTCAAACATTTTATTCTCTTTCAAGAATTGTCTCTATATAAGTTCATTCCAATCTGCAAATTTGGCTGACAGGGAAGGATTCTCAAGCACTGGAGGAGTAGTGAGTGAACTCCTTGTGGGTATTCATGGCCACTTTGTAGCAGATAAGTGACCCTGTCTTTCTAATAAGTCTCCATTCCAGTACTCCACCGACCAGTGTCTCAGGAAGTAAAGAACTGAAGAAATTGGAAACTAGGTATTGTAAATTAGAAAATGGGTAGCGCATGTGCTGAAAAGATCCTGTCTATATCTCAAACTGGCTAAAATGATGAAGTAATATGGGAATCTTTGTCTGTTGCTGGCATGTCTCTTTCTCAAGGGGTTAATATCTTGCTGTCACATGTGGAATGTTTTTATTTACAAAAAGTCAGACTGATAGTGGCTAAAAGAAGGTTCATTTGAAGGAGGTAAATCAGCACACTCAATGGGATTTTGAGAAAGACTGTACCCAAACAAAGGGAATACTGGTATTTTTGATGTGGGTATTGTGCTTCCAACAAACTTAAAAATGATTTGGATAGTCAGAAAGAGGAGAAATGTAAGAAAATGGAAGAAGATGTAAGACAGTTAAAAGCACTCTCACTCTCTCCAAAACCTCTGTTCAAATAGGACCTTTAACTAAAATCATGATTTTTTGCTATCACTTGATTTGCCTGTTGATCTCTTTGGAAGAGACCGTCTGTGTAAATTATGATATATATCCTTTATATTCTGTACCCAAGAGGAGGTGTTTTTGAAACTACAATAGGAAAGGACTGATTTAGGTACTATGTGGCTTCAAGTTTAGGAAGAGGACAAAGGAAAGTGGAAGTTTCACCTTAGGCTGGAAAAACAACCCTAAATAAAGGAAACTTAGTCTGTATTGTGGGCCTGGTCTAGGAATGATTCTGGTTTGATGAAACGAATTGAGTCTGTTATAATCAATTACTCCAAGGATAAGCCATGGCCATGCATTAACAATACCCTCCGTCCAAATTCAAATTAAAGTAACACAGTCAATAATTGAAGACTAAGAGGAATAAGGACTTACCAAAAATAGGCAGTGCTCATGTAGTACCCAGTTTTACTGGTAAGAAAAGATGGTAAATTAGATTAGGTTAACCTGTGTATTGGGTTTCTCCAAATTAAGCATTTCTGTGATTTACCTACTATCTTTTCAAGACATTTGCAGGAAATTTAAAGTTGTTTATTCTACCAAAGCATCCACCTTAATTCATTATGCCTTCACAGCCTTCGGCCTGTTCTTTGGTCCCCAATAATTTTGGCTCTTGCACTCTCCACACTTGAGATTCAAGCCTCCTCCAGGTTTACATGAGGGGATTGCTGATTTGTACCTCATAAAAAGATAAGAGCATAGATGAACTAAATCATCATTAACTCTCTGTAAGTTTCCAATGCTTTTAATGGACAAATAAACAAAAAAGAAAATAAGGAACTGAACAAACTGCTAGAGAAACTAGACCAGAAAGACTTCTGGCATCTTCTAAATGGGACTGGAAAAGAATATACACATTTCAAAGTAGAACATGGAATTTTTACAAAAATTGGCCATGTCCACTTAGGGCACAGAGATAATACAAACAAATATAAAAACACAGAAATAATTAATAAATTTTTTTATACACCACAACTTTTTTTCTGGTCATTACAGTCTCAGTTTTATTAGAAGCATCTGACACAGCCATTAAATCATATCTCCCCTAACAAAAGCATAGAGCCAAATCCAGATGATCTAATTATTTAGAGAAGAACTAAATAAACAACACTTTGGCTACAACACTTAACATTTTGCACTGGGGTAATACAGTGGTGTATTATCACTAATAAGCTGTTTGTGACTGGGAAAGGAATCTCTCTGTATAACAGGTTCTCTTTCATTTTGCAAGCAATGCTGCAGGACCCAGTATTTCAGCTCCTAATGAGTATTTCTGCTTAGTTTTTGTAGCAAATATAAAAGGTGGACTCATTCAGAAAACAATGGGCATTTCATCTGTTACCCTACAAGTATACTTTTTGAGGGGGCACTTTGAATAATGGCAAATTGAATGGACAATTCTGCGGAGGTTAAAAGTCAGAAGGCAGAGAACGAGGGCAGCACAAAAGCCAAGGTCATTTACCTATTAACCTGGGAACTCTGATTCCCAGGTCAATGAGCGTGCCCATGGTTAAGCCAGTTAATCAACAAGTATTTAAGAGTCTACTATATTCTAAGTACTGTGCTAAGTGCTGGGGATACAAAAGAAAGCAAATGACAATCTCTGCTCTCAAGTAGCTTGTAGTCTAATGAGGAAGACAATATGCAAACAACTATGTACACACAAGTTACATACAGGACAAAATGGAGATAATCCAAATAGGAAAACCATCACTATTAAGGGGTTTGCGAAAGGCTTCATGTAGAAGGTGGTATTTAGAAGAAGTCAGGGAAGCCAGTGGGTGGAAATGTGGAGGAAAAGAATTCCAGGCATGGTGGATTTCCAGTGAAAATGCGCAATCGAGACAGATGGAGTTTCTTGTGCAAGGAACATCAGGAAGGCCAGTATCACTGAATCTCACAGTACATAGTGGGGGAATAAAGGGAGGGGTAAGGCTATGAAGGGCTCTGAGGCTTTTCTATCTGTTCCTGAAAGTGATTGGAAGTCACTGGACTTGATTGAAGACAGAATTATCTTTCCCCACTTATAAATTTACATTAAATTTGCCAGAGCCCCAAGGATGGATAGTTTCTTTCTGAAGTGAAGAACTCTTATATTTGGAGAATAAGCTTCTTCAAGATGTCTTCTAGTCTTTTTAATGTTCTGGCTACCATTCCAGTTACAAGGGAGCTAGCTCTGGTAAATTCTGAGGCTACCAACAGCTTTCCACAAATAATGTGAATGGACCTGAAGGTCAGTCATCACCTTGTGTAAGTGGTACAATGGAAGATTCCTTAACTCCAGTGTCCCTGGTGACAGCAAAATGGAGACAGGCAGGAAAGCACTGAGAGATACACTCTGGGTTCTCACTAGAGGAACTTTTACTTCCCTACCAGGCTCTAAGTACGTCTAATAAAAAGTTAAAAGCTCCAAAAAATTAGATAGGTTAGCAGATCACAGTTCATCTGATTCAACCCCAAACAAATTAAGCTCTTCTCAAGTTCTTTTATTTTTTTCTAGATGGTGCCTACACGCATATATATTTTAATGATTGCTTTGATTGCTTTCCATGGCTGCAACTTTTATGAGTTCAGCTCTCAAGGAATCCTTGAAGTCAACACGTTTACTCAATTCCTTTTGCCTTCAGTTCCTGCTTGACTCGTTGCAGATAGCCAGGATCAGGGTAACCAAAGTTTTCTGGCCCACCAAACTGGAGAGTTTTGTGGTGAATATCATTCCAAGTGATCACATCATTGACTCCTGACGTCCGAGACTGTCCTACTGTGAAAATCAACCTTTGGTCAAAAGCTCTTCTGAGGAGAAGCAAAACCTGCCGTCCTTCGTCATTATTGGGCAAGTACGCCACCCGTCTTGTGCCTTCATAGCGTCTTCCTGGGTTGGGATGGTCTTCTGTCTGAATCCCTCCCCGCATGTCATACTGAATCACAATGGTGCCACATGAATTGTAACCGGGAAGTGAAGAAGTCCTGTAAGAGGTTGTCATTGTTCCATCTGGCTGATTCCCCTTCAGGATATGATAGGAAGTCTGGCATACAGGGCACGCTGGTCTGTGTTTCATGGCCTCTCTGATACAAGGGCCACAGAACTTATGCTTGCACTTTGAGAGGACTTCTTTGTGGTGAATGGTGTCCAGACAGATGGCACACTCATCCTCTTGTTCCTCCTCCTCTTTTCCTAAGTCCCCACAGCCAGGCAATCCCTTGAAGGGAGTTGAAGCCATCTTTAAATCAGCACCATTTCTGTCCAGTGGGGATTTGGGATCTCTATACCAAATTTCTCCAAGGGAGAGAGGTGGACCTTGTCTTTCCTGAGGAAGACCTTCAATACTAAAATGTCTCTTAACAAATTTCATTGCTTTTGCAATGTACTTGGGCAAACCAGTCAATGTCAGTTCTTGTTCATACCACTCCAAGTTTACATGGGGGTGCTTTCTTTCAAAGTCTTCAAAAAATGTCTTTTCAGGCCAACGCTTTTTCTCTTGGCTTAATGGCTTCAATATAACTACCTCTCTGACAACTTCAGGTAAGAGCATCTGAAACAGCTCAATGAAATCTTCATAAGCATGTGCAGAGAGGTCTACGTCTTTGCGTTTTGGCTTAAATACAATGAGAGTCTTCCGACTTAGCGGTTTGTTCACCAGCTCCATGACAGTGTCATATGTTTTCTCTATTTCTTTGATTTCATGGCGCAGAAGACGCAAGTGATCGGTATCAACCTCAATTTCATTCTGCATCGTGTTTTCGGAAAGCACCATTTCCAGAGGTGGTTTGCGAGAGAAGTTTGCTTCAATGAAATGTTGAACTCCTAAGATATCCTGTGGATTTCCCCAGAGAATTAAGACTTTTCCTTCAGCTTTAATACGAAGGTTCTTAAACATGTCAGTCAGTGTTTTTTGGACTTCAAATGCCAGTTTATTATCTGCAAAATGAAGATCCCTATGGGTCACATTCTTTATTTCCTTCTGAAATGCTCTGGTAAAAGCTTCTTGAGCTGCTTTCCTGTTCGCTGACTTACTTGTCTCAAAATCTAAACACACATTGCCTGTAGGATATGACACAGTACCTTTGATACGGACCTTATGCTCACTTTGTATTCTGTCCAGAGTTTGAGAAAAAAAGTATTTAAAATATTCATACAAATGTGAAGGAACCGAGATAATGTCCAACTCCTCTTCTTTTGTGTTTTGGGTTTGAGCGAAGACTAGAACTGTCTCCGTCATTTGGCACATTGTGCTCAACTTCTCTTGCTGAGGCGGAGGGGGGGAAATCATCTTTTTGCTCATCTTCCACCATCTTCTCACGTAAGAATTGATAAATTTTTTTAATATCCTCAAAGTCACCAATCACTTTCTCAGGTCCATCAAGGCCTCCTTCTATTTTGACATTTGGGCAGAGGTTAATAATTTCCTCCCTTCGCTCTTTGGAAAGCTTGAAGTTCAGCCGGGCCCTTACATGGAGAAATATCTTCTTAGTGAAGGAATCAGAGGAGCTAGCAGCACCTCCTCCATCTGGAAATTCCTCTGGGACTGACTGAGTTGGAGAGGAAAGCTGGCTTATCTCCACAGTACTGTTCTCTTCTTCTGGGTCTTCATTTGCTTCTAGGAAGATGGTCACATGTGATGTATCACTGACTGCCAAAGAGTGATCTCCCTTTGCTATCACACCTTCTTTGGCTTGTCGTTTATAAAACTCTACCCAGAAAGTGCCTTCATTGGGACCGGCTTTGACCCTGCACTTGCCTCCCCCAGACTTACATGGGTTCTGGAAATACTTCTGCAGCTTCTTCTCTATTCCAGAGCAGCTCTCAGACACCCGGACCAGGACCCGGTACAGCGGGCTGTGGGGAGTGGTACCAGTGGCCATCAGGGCAGGGTAGGAACTCGGGAGTTGAAGATCCGGGCCTGTGACGTTTGTTCGCTGGCCTCTGGAGGGGGAAACTGGGAAGCAGAGAAGGAAGATAAAAAATTGCTGTCAGCTCCCTACTCCCCACCTCTCTGCCCAGAGCATAACTTAACAAAACAGCAATTGGTTCAGATAGCACAAACATAACAAAGGGAAACAAATGGCAATGTAACAATGAAATCCTAAATAATGACAAGTTCAGAGATTATATTTTTAAAAATACAAGTAATTATTTGAAAAAATAATGAGAAAATTGAGAACGATGATGACGATGATGATGATGAAACAACATACAATTTCCAGGATGCAGATAAAGCAGTCCTAAGAAGGAAAAAGGTATATGTCTTTACAAACATACATTAACCATCCAGAAGATAAGAATAATGAAATGAATATTCATTGAAAAAATTAGAAAGCCAACAAATAAACAAGCTTAAAATAAGCACAAAGATATTAAAAATACAGAAAGAGATAAATTGAAAACAGAAATACTGCAAAGAAATGATATCTAAAACTAAAGGGTGGTTCTTTGAAAAGAATAATGAACTTAATAAAGTTTTAGCTACTCTGATTAAAAAGAGAGGAGAAAATCAAATCAATAAAATAGTAAGTGAGCAAAATGAAATACCAACATGATCAGAAGAAAAAATAAATAATCAGCATGTTATGTACAGTGTTAACCAAAATCAACATCACAAGTCCATGAGACATGTGTTGAAACTTAAGTTATTACAAGAGAAGGCAAATGCATGTGGGTACTCCCTGTACCAACAAGCCCAGCAGTGCAGGGAAGGCTTTGGTATTTAATTCACAAGGAAAGGGCGAAGGCATAGGGGAGGGGAAAAGGACCCATGCCCTACCAAAGGGTAAGAGAAAGCATATATAAGTAAAAACTGGGAACTGCCAGGCCAAGAAGATATGATGGTCTGCTTAACTTCAAGGGTCCCAGTTGCAGAAATAGTTTCTCAGTCTGGTACAGACTGACTGGTGCTTGACTTGACTTCGAAGGATATACAGGGAGTCCAGCTTGGGGTGCAAAGAACAAATTGTGTCAGCCAAGGGAGGCCTTCATCCTTGACACATTCAGTGCCTCTACATACTCCAGGTCCAGTGTTTCTACAAAATATGACAACTCAAAAAGAAAAGCTCAAGGGACCCTTTAATATCTGCATATCCTTGTACCATTAGTCAAAAGCAATCTCTAGATATGTCAATGACCACAGAGAGTGCACTTGGTAAAATATTCCCATGCATACGACCTGTGAAGGGTCTCTGAAGGCAAGAGAAAGAAACACTTCAGAAAGATAAAAGTCAACAGACAGACAACTAACAAGAGACTTTGGGCATTTTATGTCTCAAGACTGATACAGGATAGTTCTAATTACAAAGTAAGATTGAGGAGAGGATTCTGGGAAGATGGTGGAGTAGGTCAGAAAATTCCAAGTTCTCCAGATTTCCTCTACAAATAAGACAAAATAGTGAACCTTAGGGTGAACGTAGAATGGTAAAAAGTAACAAGAGCTGGGACAGAACAGTGGTCCTCCTGGGACAAGAGAAGATCTGAGATTTGGTCCCTGTGAAGTGTGAACATCTCCAGGCTAGTTCCACTCAAACAACAAGCAGAATTCCCTGGGGCTGAGCTGGGAGGTAGACTTGGTACCAGGCACAGGAATTTTTACCTCCCATAAAGTGCGGGGAGTCAGGAGTCTGGGCAGGGGAAGATTGATGGAACCTCTGTTGATAAGGGAGGCTAGGTCCAGCTGTGCTGCAAAGACACAGCCCTGGGTGAGAAGGAAACAGCACACACCTGGTAAGTGCAGAAACAGTGGGGTGGACACCACTGGCAATGGGCACTTACAGGAGGGCAGAATTCTTGGTTTGGTTCCAGGCCAGAGGGGAGAACTGAAGGAGGATCTAAGGCCAAAGGCACCATCCTCCACACACCAGGACTAGAGGTGATTACAATAATAAGCTTCTACAAATAAAAAAAAAATTAGTAGGCTAAGGAGAAAGAACTGAACCATAGAAAGTTACTATGGGGGCGGCTAGGTGGCACAGTGAATAGAGCACCAGCCCTGGATTCAGGGGGACCTGAGTTCAAATCCTGCCTCAGACACATAACATTTACTAGCTGTGTGACCCTGGGCAAGTCACTTAATCCCACTGCCTAGCCAAAAAACAAAAACAAAAACAAAAACAAAAAGTTACTATGGAAATAGAGAAGACTGGGGTTCCCCTTCAGAGGAGGATATTGATGCAAAAAAAAAAAGCCTCTCCTTTCCCAAAGAGTAACATGAAATGGTCACCTGTCCAAAAAGAATTTATAGAAGAACTTTTAAAAAATAGCCAAAATCAAATGAGAGAGATTGAGGAATTTTTATTAATAAGAACAATCCAAGAAAAACAAGAAGACTGTGAAAAGAAAGTCTACCAACTAGAAAAGGAGATCCAGAAACTTAAAGAAGAAAACAACTCCCTGAAAATTAGAATTGGGCAAGAAGAAGCCAGCGAACTTATAAGAGACCAAGAAATAATATAATAAAATATAAAGAAAGAAAAAATAGAAGAGAAAGTGAAACATCTCATAAGAAGAACAACTGATCTAGAAAACAGAACAAGAAGAAAAAAGCATAAGAATAATTACACTACCTGAAAACTACAACACAAAAATAATCTTGATGCAATAATACAAGAAATAATTAAAGAAAATTGTTCTGAAGTGTTAGAACAAGAGGGCAAACTAGAAATGGAAAAAAATCTACCCATCACCACCTGAAAGAGGTCCTACAAGGACAACCTACAGTAACATCATAGCTAGATTCCAAAAGCCCCCACTGAAGGAGAAAATATTACGAGCAACAAGAAAAAGCAATTAAAATATGGCAGAGCCAGAATTAGAATCACACAAGACCTAGTAGCAGCAACACTAAAAGACCTAAGGTCTTGGAATACTATATATGGAAGAACAAAATAACTGCAGTTGCAGATGAAAATATCATACTCAGCAAAGTTAAGCATAATCCTGAATGGAAAAAAATGACATTTAATGAATTGCCAGACTTTCAAGATTTTGTTGCAAAAAGACCTGAAATCAACAGAAAATGTGACATACAAGATTCATACATACATACATACATACATACAAGAGAAATATAGGGTAAACATCAAAGACTAATTACAAGGAACTCAATGAGGACAGACTGTTCACTTTTTATATGAGGAAATGTAAATCATTTGTCCAAGATTGTTATTAGTAATTGGATAGTTTGAGAGAAAGATTAGGGTAGAGATGATTATGATGTGATACTAAAAAGTAAATCGTCTAGGAAAAAGGTAAAAAGTGTAATTATCTTATATAAATGAGGTGGGAGATGAAAAACTGACACAGAGGAATTAGATGGAAGAAAAGGACTGGTAGTTCTGGAACCCTACTCTCAGCGGGAATGGGCTAAAGGGGGGACAAGTTGTATAAATATCTAGAAGGTCATGAAAGTCTTCTAAATTCAGAAAGAAATAAAGGGCTAAGGGGATAGGGAGGTGGGAGAGGATAAGGGAAGAATTTCAGGATGAGGGAGAAGATAAGGGAGGGATCTTTGGTGGGGAGGAAGGTTAAGTAGTAGAAGGCAAGGTAGCAAGCAGAAGTAAAGTAGAGGAATCAGGAGGGATACGAAATAGGAGATAACACAAAAACATAAAATAAAAATCAGGAGTACGAATATATTAGGGAAAAGTGAAAGGGTAGTAAGCATGATCTCAGGTAAAGCTAAAATAGATTTAATCAAAAGAGAAAAAAAGGAAAATACACTATATGTCAGCCATATTAATCAATATTGTTTTAGACTGTTTAAAATAACCAGACAGTATTGGAGTATTGCTGTGGTGTAGGAAACAATGAATTGGTGGACTTAGAAAAAAAGGGAAAGACTTGGACCTATGAAGGAAGACGTTATCCACCCTCAAAGAAACAGAGAAGAAACAAGTATAATATGGTCTTACACCGATACATAGAAATATATATGTCTATATATGAGTATGAGTATAGATATCTAAGTATATGTATGTGTATGTAAGTATATGTATGTGTATTATGTATATATATGTTTGTGTTTATATGTGGATGTATATATGTTATGCATGTATATTTGTGTGTGTGTGTGTGTGTGTGTGTGTGTGTGTGTGTATGTCTGTATCTGTGCTCAACTGTGGCCTTCTTGGGGGAGAGAGGGGAAGAAGAGGGAAAAAAAATTAAAAAGTACACAGCAGAGAACAAAAGAAAATTTACAAGGAAGCAAAGAAAAGATGGATAGCTGAGAACACAACGTGTAGTGTTTATTACATAGGCTTTCTTGAAATAGAAATTTATAGGTGTATATTTCAAATCCTCACATTCATTCTGAGCATATGGCAATGCTTTTTATTTTCTTTTTCATCTTGTATTTAAGTTTTAGTATATAAGTTTATAATACATTTCTTTTTCTTTTTTTCTTTTCTTATGGTGTATTTAAGTTTAAAATAAATTAATAAAATGTGAGATCACAACCATAAACAAAGCATAGTACAAGCCACAGTAAGAATGTTCAAAATCAGGGATTAATCCAGAGGGGAAATCATACAACATCAAGAAAGCCAAGAAAACTTTAGTATACAGATACACAAAATAAAAGACAAAGGGGTACAATAACGGACATCAATATTAACAAACGTTAAGTCTCCCTGCAATAACCCTTCCCAATATCCATTCAATCAGCACATTTCATCTTGCATCTCAGATGTCCCATGCAGTCATCCTGTCCCTGGCATTCCTCTTCTTGGGGCAGTATGGAAAATATCATGTCCTCAGGGTCACCACTTCAGTGGACTTCCTTTCTGGTTCAAAGTTGTAAAGATTCCTTAGACGTTTCTGCTAAAATTTTCTACAAAACAGATCTCAATACAAGATTTCCACACTAGTAACAAAGTTTACTTCTCTAATACCTAGTACATGTGGTAGAAACCAGCTGGACCCTAGGGATTCTTTTCTAATAAATAACAGAGC